GTCTGCGCATGACTATGACTATGCTACCATTACCTATGATTAAGGATTCCCGAAGGAATCCGAAACGTCAGGAAAATAAAACTCTTGTTCCAGTGGTCGCATCTTCTTCTTTTGAGTTGAGGAATTGTAGAAATATTGCCTAGGAAATTGTACTTCTGACAGCCCCCCCCTCAAACGTTGGTGCAGTTTTGTTGACTCAGCTGAGATATTATAGTACTAAAAAGTGCGGCTATACATATCATCACCAGATCTGTACGTTACGTCGTTTTTGCCCTTTGGGAGTGGGACTGCATCCCACCATGCTCCTTTTTCTCTGTAAGTTCTGTACAGTGCTGGCTCTAAATTGTCATTGTAAGGGGACTAGTTTCGAGGACAGTTTTTTTCCTATGAGCTAATTTTGTGTTTTTGTTGTACACGCCCCTTCTGTCCTGCCTGTGATTGTGGCTACTCGTATAGGCCCAAATATATTTTGTTAAATATTTCTAGGGGGTCCTGCAACCGAACGTAATTTTCGGCAAAGAAACGTGCACAATTACAGAAAATAATATTTGATGCCTAATACTATATCAACATCCATCCTATTAAATAGAGGACATCTAGCAAATCATATATTAATTGCTTAGGAAATGCTGTTTTAACAGTGAACTTACTGTGTAAGAATTAATAGACCCCATACGTTGCAGGGGGCTAAACGGGTCATTCGACCAAAATATGATTTCAATCACGGTTCCTGACGGAACCGCGTAGCTCAAATAGGTAGAACACTGGCTGTACTCAAGCCTTGCCCCTGCTGTTTTGGGAAGCAGCCGGTGTTTTTTCACAATGGGGTCAAATGAAGCTTTTTAAATCTTCCAAAACACTCATTAAAACAATTTAGTTGCAAGGCTCTCTCGTGATTGCTCTACTCCTTCGTTCTGTCTCCCCCAGTCAGCCATTAGTGCATAATATCTACACGATTCCTGTCTGACGGCCTTTTTGGTTTAATAAGGCAGCCCCCGACGGGACCAAGAAGAAGGATCAGAATCTATGCCGATTCCACTCGAATCCTGTTTAACGTTTAGAATACCGAAAAAACCTTACGAGTTTGCAGGTCCTAGCAGCTGCCCCACCAAGGTTAATTTCCGGAAGTTGTGCCAGAGCTTTGCCCATCCCTTCTTAAAGTCTGAAGCTATGAATGATCGAACCAGCGTTGCTGGAAGTACTCAGCAGGGGTCTTGTTTTGACACCTTAAGAGCTTTCAGACACCATCTGTTATCTGAAGGCCAACATATAGTACAGCGGTTTTCGAACACACTTTTTCATTTTTACTCTCTTCCTACTATTCCCCACCACCACCTCCTCCTTTCCGACCACCACCATCGTCGCCACGACAGTGATTCTATCTTGTTGGCAATAACGTTGCACTTGGTTCCGTCCGTCCTCGTTTCCTCTAGCAAATCTTAGTCCGAAACTCCTTTCGACTTCCCAGTCGCCTGCTGTTCGATAGTTTCATACACACAACTGCACCTGTTTCACACTCCTGTTAGATATATTATCTTTTGGACAAGCATGTGCTTGCTCCTGTTGGTCAGTGTTGTGGTTTCGGGGACTTTCTCTTCAGCAAAGAACGCGTCCTAGAGAATTACCAAAGCATGCAC